GAAGAAAGAGGGAAAGTTTGTGTAAGTTCGCCAGGGTGTGAATGTGTAGACAGCTATAACTCTCAGGTTCACAGTAAAACATAGATCTCCTGTGCGACTTTTTCACCCTTCAGAAGAACATCTTTGACGTGCAAAAAATACCCAAATGTTGGTCTTTTTCAGCGCAAAATCAGTGCAGTCACAGAAGTAGATCCCTCAGAGGGTCATATGTCTTTTTACTGGCAATCCCAGGTGGTTCTACTTAACCCCATTAATTCTTCGCTAACTAACAGCGAAACATAATACACTGAAGAAAAAACATTTTTGGTTAAAAAGTGGATAATAGATTTATTTATTTTAGTTATTGCTGTGCTTAATGATGAATTTCAGTTTGATAGCCGATCTGCTGTGATTTCTCTCAACTACTTGTTGGCTGTTTAATTGCAGTTCATGTTGCGATTTGTTTGTATTTATATGGTCCTGTAAAGCTGCCAGCAGTGATTATCAAAAATATTGTGGTTGAGTTAATTTCACTTTGTGCATGTGTGTGTTGCTTGCCCTGGGGCAGTGCAGCATCGAGCAGTGTCAGCGTGCTGTAAATTTTATACTGTGTGTGTGCTGATCGGCTGCTTTGTTGCAGTAAATTTGTGGGATGATTCATAAAGATGTGAAGGCATTCTGGGGCTGATAAGTCAGCGACTTAAGAGTTATAAGTCATTTTCACTGAGACTTGAGCTCTGTGTTGCAACCATGACACATGTATTGTCACTTTTTTATGGTTGGGTTATTTGATAATGTTTGTATTCGGTTTTCCTTTTGCATCTATTTGATTTTTTGTGAATATGTAAGACTGTGCGGTAAAGCTTCTGTTCTCTTGCATTTACATGCATATGAAATGTTAACAATGCTTTTACACCCTGGCGTTACGTGTGCTGTAAGGCAGAGTGCAGCTCAGTTTTAACGAAGAGATGAAGGGAGCTGATAAGGGGGGAAAAAAGCGGTTGTAGACTCGTGGAGATGTCATAAAGGAGGTTGTTAATATTGGAGTTTCATCAATGGCAGCATTACGCAGGCCACTCCTGCAGGGGCGAGGCTGTGCAGAGGGCTACAGTGTCAGAAGTTGGCAGCTGAGCCAAAACCAGAGCTGTATCCTCAAATGAACTCTCCGCGACGTACGGTGCAACAGGCTCTGCCAAGTTTTTTGAATTCCTGCCACATGTTAGATGGTAAACAACTGACTTGCAGTAACAGTATCTTAGATAGAAGATAAAGAGCAAAGGGACTCTTCTGATTCCAGATGAAACACGAATTTGTCTACAATAGTGCTTGATATATATTCAGCAGGCACTCGTAACAGCGTTTAATGATTTCAGCGAGAGCAATTGGTTCAAAGACGTGGCGAGATGTGACGTCACAGGGTTCAGTCTGATCACTGTTTGGTGCTCGACTGGGGTTTTGCTCATCAATGCCCACGAGGGAATTTATTGCTTTTTTGATAAAGTGCATTTAAATCACCAGTTGCCTCACGTTGAACCTCGGGAGTAATCTCACTCCTCATTTTTCACGAGTTTGCACATTGTGCGTCATTGAAATGCGGATGGTGCAGCAGTAGTACACACAACACAGGGAAGCCGAGTTTTTATTTGACTGTGTGGAAAGGTGAGGAGAGAGCTAGGCAAGGCAAGTGCACCCGTTCGCCTCCTTTCTCCCACTCTTTCTCTCTCCAAGCCCGTCCTGCGAGGTAGAAAAGGCGCACACACAGCAGCGTAACGCCTTTTCTTTCAGTCTCCAGGACTAAGAGTGCAGGGTCGGTACAAGTAAGCAAGCAGCCATATTAGTTTGCTCTTGTGTTGCTCATACTCGCTGTTTTTCATCTACTTGTCGCCTGTTTAAAATGAAAAAACAAACAAACAACCAAAACACCACACGTATTGAAAAACTCTGGAAATACTGATGTTTTCCCAGCTTTCATTTGTTTAAATTCATGTTAGTCCTCTTTAGACTCTGCGAGCATAAACACAGATTGACATGGAGTCTAGCTAGCTGTGTTTCATGATGTGAGATTCGGCGTTTTGTTGGACAGTCCCCCCCCCCTCTCTCTTTTGTATGGCTGCTGCTATGAGGAGAGAAAAAGGGGAAAAAATTTGTCTGTGCTGAGTTCTGGGTTTCTTTTGGGAAAGCGAAGACTAGAGGGGAGGGGAATGGTGTCCAAAAAGGAGGAAGTTGTTTCTTTGCCACGGGGGAATCTGTTGCAAACAGTTACGGGGCATTACAACAATTTGGCTGCCCAGAAAAGTTTTTGAGGAGGGAAGTCGGGTGGAAACCGGACGGGTGTGAATAACCTTCAGCATGCTGATCCAGAGGTTGGTAGGTGTGCATGAGAAGAGGGGAGAGAGGAAGACAGCAGGGGTAGTATCTGGCACAAAAACGTTAAAAAAAAGATCCTTCTCATGCAGGCTTAAATTAACACTAGCTGTTCAGAACAGGGCTGTTTATTACTGTAGGCTAGAACAGTGCTACCGAAAGGACAAGAAAGGGTGGGAGACAGAATAGACTCAATGCGGAGGGGGAAGGAGGGTGTTGGACATGAGCAGAGTCATCAACAGAGTCCATTTTATCGTTCGGTTACTGCCCGACATTTCTCCTCTCCTTAGTCGCACGCAGAACCGGCTGCTGTTGCTGCAGTTCGCTGCAAGGCGAGGGTGGCCTAGTAATGGCACATGGCGGGCGCACTGCGGTAAATATTACAGGATTTTTACAGCGTGGTTCAATGCCGCAATCATGGTGGGGCAGTCGCATCCAGGTGCTTATCTGGCTTTGATTGCGTGCCAGAACAGTTGATGTAGCTTTCCTACGTATTAATGATTAAGCATTAAAAAAGCCCAAAAAAACAAGCAGTAATCAAAAGGATATTCATCACTGATCATACCCTACACTTTTGGCCTTCGCTAGGGGAACGCCATTGCTTCAGTGCCAGCTGGGAGTTTAGTGATAAAGACGTGTGGGTCAAAGCCAAATGGCTGATATTAAACTGAAAGGCCCAGCAGCTCTGCAAAGAAAAGATACACTATTAATCTTTCCCTCCAGTCTCAAAGTTAGGTGTTGCAAGTCCTAGTATCCTTTAATCATTTGTGAGTGTTTGCTGTGACTCTCGTCCTCAGCAGAAGTGCACCCCCCCCCCCCCCCCCCCCCCCCGTAGCCCAGCTCAGCGCCCTCCCCACCCTGCCTCGTGCATGCGCACGTCATACTGGGTCTGTGATGAAAACGCGTAGTGCGCACGCACTCCCACACGTCCCTGTTTCATCATCAGCTGAGCTCTTTCTCCTCCACTCACAGCTCTTCTCCCCTTCCTCTCTTACCCCCTCCCCTCTCTCTCTCTCTCTTTGCTCTTGCTTCTTTTTCTATCCATCGCTCTCCTCCTCCTCCTCTCTCCCTGGGTCCCGGCCACATGCGAAAGGGTAGACTAGGACGCTGCAGCTCTGAAAAAAAAGAGGGGAAAAACGCTCTGCTGCTATTTCTACAGGCAGGCCCTCCCCTTTAGCTAGTCTGTGCCAAAAGAGGGAGGGATTTTTTACTACTCCCAGTCCCAGGATTTTAACCCTCTGCCTGCTCTCACTTCTCCCTGCAAGATCTGTTCCTCAATATCATGCAACAAGTGGCTTTGCTTTACTCCTACTTCGACATTGCTGCGCCATTTGCAAGGGCATTTTTCAGATCCTTGTTTTCACGCGCTTTTAGTTTTATCACGTTTTTGCCTCGCCTGGGTTGTTGCTAGTAGAGATAAACTGGACCTGGGAGTTTTGCGCCGTGCCATAGCGTTGGTGCAAAGGTTTTTTGTTTTTTTTTTCCTTCAGCACGTTTCTTGATTGCTCAACATGTCAGATTTTTTTTTCCTGGATGAATCTGAGTATGAAGGCTGCAGTTTGTTTTGTGTGCTGTTCGATTTCATGTGTCTCGCGCATGGATCTTAAATTGAATTCCTTATTGTTTTCCTGTGCTCTTATCTGCTTTGCCCTCTACCTTCCTAACCCTTTCCATCTCCAAACCTGTCCCTCTTTTTTGGTTTTTTTCTGCCCCACCCTCTCTTCCTCACGTTCTCTCTCTCTCGCTCTCTCTCGATCTCGTGGGCAGTCTCCAGTGAAAGGAGAGCAGGAGGGCGGAGCAGCAGCGGGGCTTTTTCTGGGACAGGTGCCAATTCCAAACAAAAGGCACAAAAAACAAAAAAAAAGAAAAAAGAGTGTGATAGATCCCAACGACAGAGGGAAAAGTGGTGTATTTAAAGAACTGATTTGTAGTAATTAGATGTGTGTGCATGTGTAACTATTCTTCTCTTGCAGGTTTTTTTTTATTGCATGAGTGAATAGCAGCAGAGATCTTGAATTCTCTCTTTCCCCCCTCTCTCGGCTCTCTTGCTCCCGTGAAGGCATTTGAGTTTCGAGCGGGGAAAAGAAGGAGGGGTGGGTGGAGTTGGGAAGGGGCACAGGGAGGTGGAGCCTTGTCTCCTCTCCTCCCTGCCGAGTTTTCTGCATTATTCATATGCCCGGGCCAGCGCTGCGATCTGACTGGCTGCCTGGCTTAGCATTCATCCGACATTCAGCAGCTCTGTTTGCTAACATTCCTCATTCAAAGCCTTGTTAACTGCCAGACGGGAGGAACACGCGACTCCATGGGAAACCCACATGGCCTCTCCATTGTGGCGGCCCTGACAGTCTCAGACAAGGAGCTGGCAGACAGGGGAGAGCGAGAGGAGCTGGTTTGTAAATATTAGAAAGCAGTTAGCTCAGGTTGGGGAGGTTACCCAACACTCAGAGATGGGTTTGGGGTGAAGTGGGCAGATTATCGTGGGCAAATCCCGGGCAGAGGCGCAGACAGACATTGTAGGAAAGGCGCTGAGGCAGACACGGAGGCTGGTACTTTCTGGGACTCTGAATGGGTCTGTCGTTGGCGTGCCCGCCTACTTCTTGCAGGGAGTGCAAAGCTGTGTGACTGAATCCAAGCTCCCTCTCTGCCCTTCTCTACAGAGAGGATATGTGGACATACTGTGTGCAGCCGCGGATGGGTCCAGCACAGCCGCTTCATCCAGGATAGCTCATTGCTGTGGTGTGGGACAGTTACTTCAAAGTCTCAGTGGGTAAGTCAGAGAGAGAGTGTGTGGGTGTGGAGGTAAGTGTGTGTGTGTATACTTAGGTGTGTGGTGCTTGCACACATGCAGTGGTTTTCTTTTTTGTCAAAAGATGAAGACATAACAAATGTGGAGAGCCGCATCGTGTGACCTGATCACCACGTTTGTGTGTATGAACATTGTGCCTGGGTGTTGTTTCCTCCAGGGCTACATGACTATCCAGTGAGAGCAGGCTTAACTAAATATAGTCAAACTGGTTAGAAACGTGGCATTGGCTTTGAAATTTCGACGAAACTGAGCAAATCTCTTCTCTAGTGCATTCCTACCTGTACTTTAGCACTCCGGATCGGCCTTTCGTGTGTTTCAGAGAGAGAAATGCTTTTTTGGAGGGAGCAGAGAAGGAATAGTGCTGTAATGTTGGGCTGATGGCCAGGGAAGGCCTGCTACACAAGGCCGAGCCCCACCACAATGCTCTCTCTATCTCTACCTCTCCCCCTCTGTCTGTCTGTCTCTCTCTCTCTCTCCCCCTCTTCTCAGGTCTATCAGAAAATGATTAAACACCACTCGTATTGAGCTCTGCTATTAAAACCTCATCTTAATGAATATGTGCCTAGTTTATTCCCTGGAAGTAAAGGTTAAATATTTGAAAATGGGTCAGTGCTGACACGTGGCCCCACGTCGCTTTAATATGGCTCAAACAGGCCTTTTTGGACACATCGTTTATGATGCTTTATTAAAACGAAAACTTTTTCCTAAAAAGAACTCCATTAAGGTCTTAAGATTTAAAGCTTGCCCACGTTCGCTCGGTTACAGACTATGGTTTGATTAAACTGTAAACGCACACGGTTTGAGAGGTACATGTTGACTGTAGTAGAGTGCTCTGCTTTTTAAAGGAAATTAAAAAGGTTATATTATTATTACCTGATTACAACTGCTACTTCATCCATGACGATGAATATCGGCTCTAATTTTGTCCGTATTATATTAAAATTTCCACATAATTAAAACACTGAGTGCGCCACACCCCTCAGCAGTGCCATTCAACTTGGCATCTTTTAATTATCATCCATAAATCAGTTTTTGAAAAGCTCGCTAATTGAAAATCTTGCTTTTTAAAATTTTATTTTTTATTTTAAATCGATATCACTCCACGTTGAACACCTCAGCACATCAGAGTCGACCATGACCAAAAGGTAGGAGTGGAGGCAGCGTGAGTCATCACAGATAGCTCTAGTCATCCCACCTACATCCTACGTTTGACAGGCCTATTCAACCGCCACTCTCACACTACTGAGCCTGGCTTAAACTCCTCCATCACTGTCACACTGACAGGAAATCCTGACGTCGCTTTCGTGCATCCAATCCCTGTTCTTCAGACCCTCAGTCAGGTGAAATTAGGAGTTATATAGCAGCATTTAGACACATTTACTCTTTAGGTGTAGCAGTGAAAACTGCAGGAGTCAGATACAGGATATGGCTGTCTTCTCATTTCTGCTCTGACTTTTTGTTTGTTTTTACCTTCCTACATTATCTGTTTAACTCTAATGAACACACATTTCCTAGAAACACAGTACAATCCAATATATTTGTGTGAGGAAGCACTGGAATCCGCTGTCCTGTCTAAATAGAGAGAAGCCCGCTTCAGAATGTTTTTAGCGCCTTGAAAACTATCGATCACCGTTTGGAAACATATCAAAATATTTTTCTAGCGATTTTCTTTCACTTTTTGTATACGCAAAACTCCTCATTTATTAGGTCTTTTTATTTCATCGCACATCGTACGTTGTACAGTACATGTCCACAAGATATTGCCAAGTCTGTAAATAATATTTCATCTGGGGAAAATGAAGGAAGCAATCCTGGCCAGCTTTTGAAATTGATAAGCGTTACTTTTTTCCCTTGCAAATCTGGCAGTAAATTGTAGTTTTTTGAGCGATTTAATGCAGCGCACATTGTTTTCCTATGTTTGAAGAGCCATTAATTGTTCCTGCCGTGATTCCTATAAGCAAGTAAATATTTTTTGTTTAAATATTTACTGTAAATGTGAATATAACATCGAAAGCTTGTAATCGAAATGTTGTCATTACAAAACATTAGAAAAGTAAACGACATTCAGAAAGCGAATATAAAGACCATCACACAACATCTTGCGTGCGCGTGCGTACACACACACACACACACACACACACACACACACACACACACACACACACACACACACACAGGCAAACAACCAGACACATTTGATGCTGTGTACCCCACAATGAACCCTGGCTCCTAAGATGAATGGGGTTCCCACGCCTCTCCCAAGGAGTGCAGGGCACAGCCTCCTCCTCTGAGCATTCACACACACACACACACACACACACACACACACACACACACACACACACACACACACACACACACACACACACAATGCACTACAGTTGGCCACACAGTCTCCCTCAAACATACACACAGGTGCATTTCAGTAAAATACAAAGGCACACACATAGTAAAATAGCATAATGACCCATTTTTAAAAACTACAAGTATACATACTTTAATTACTTACTTTGTGGTGTAAAAATAAATAAATAATATGATGGAAGTGTCAGTTTTATAGATGGAGTCAGTTTGGTATGAAGACGACTTAATTTGTATAGCAGCAAAGCAGAAATGAGACGTGAGAACACACAGATTGTTTTTAGTTTCAGTTACACTTCTTTTTGTTTCAATCCCTGTTTATGTGTATGTGTGTGTGAGAGTATGTTGTTCATGAAGTGTTTTTATTTCAGGGAAGGTTTTAGATGAATTTGATTTTCATGGGAGCTTTTTATTTTCTGAAGGTGTAGCAAAACAGTCCTTGAGAAAGAGTGTGTGTGTGTGTGTGTGTGTGTGTGTGTGTGTGTGTGTGTGTGTTTACTATATTAGTACACAATTTAGTTTATTAAGTGAAAAATAATTATTTTGTTGTATTTGTTTTTTTTAATCGTTGGATAACTCTAGTGTAGTTTTTAAAAGACTTGAGAATTTTTTTTGGTGTTTTCATTTTCTTATGAGAAATACATTTGTAATTCACTGATGTATATAAACATTTAAATATGTAATTGCTTTACATTTTTGTAAATGTACTTTACAGTTGGCGTTTATTATTTCTCTAATATGTTTTAAGGATACTGTGTGTGTGTGTGTGTGTGTGTGTGTGTGTGTGTGTGTGTGTGTGTGTGTGTGTGTGATAGAGAGAGAGAGAGAGAGAGTGAAACAGAGGATGGTGTCCATATTATTTATTTATTTCAAGCTTAAAATGTAGATTTAAAATTAATTGTTAACATAAAAAAATATTTTAGCTATAATATTTAATTTTCTGCTTTTTGTTTTTGTTTCTAATTGTTCAGTTACTGTCGTTTATATTTAAATATTAATATAAGCACTTTAAAAAATTCCACATTTTGTTTAATAAAAAGTAATATTGGACCAAAATAAAGACGTACGAATGCCTAAAAGAAATGCCGAAAACAAACCAAAAAAAAGGCTAAAGGCTAATTTGTCTTTCTCTGGACCTACAGTAATCTAAGTTCCTGTAGTAATTTCCTGGAGTTAGTACCTTTTTGAGAGATGAATCTAAGCTGCACTGGCAGTGAATGGTAATGCAGTTATCCCGTCTAAATTCAGCTACAGTATTCTGAGCTATGATCACTCTAACATATGCTACATCAGCCTTAATGATACACTTAAGTAACTGCTTGGCAGGTTTATGACCTGAGCGATACATGGACACCTTGCCGAGTGTGTGTGCACATGTGTGTGTTTTGTGAATAAATTTTAACAATGCTACACGCACAGACATGTGTAACTATAATTATCTGTTTTTCGCTTTCATTTGCAGAGTCATTACTTGGGAGTGACTTTATTTTTCCGTGCCAGACATTGATATCAAGGTTAGTCTAACATTTTTATTAATTTTCTTTAAAATTATATTCTTGTTATTGAATCCGTGTATGTTTTTGTAGCACTTTTGGTGTATATAGCAGCACCTATTTTGTGTGTGTACATGCCCGGACAGTCAAAAATCATTCGGGACTGCTTTCCATGATATAAGCACACAGCTCAGCGACCGCGGTTTGTTGTTAGTTTATCAAACACAACCGTCTCCAGCACACACCAGTGGCCGTAGCATCGTGTGATGCGTTTTGTCAAAACTCGTATCGGTGCGTTGTGTCTGTCGTGTCATCTGAAACGGTAAGTCTGTGCTGCAGCTCAAAGATAATCTCCTCAAAGGAAATTAGTCAGGAAAAATGGGACAGAAGAGCCGTCAGCCTAAAGGTCAAATGAAGATTAGAGAGAAACAGTACACGAGGGCACACCGGCTGGCACCCCGGAATTACACAAAGGCCTCATTGTCACAGGAGCCCTCGGGTCTGCGCACTCTCTCCCAGCATACTTAGGGAGACATGACACCTGTTGGTGGTTTTGATCAACTGCATGCAGAGCGACAGGACACCTCACACTTAAGATTTTTCTGATATTAAAAGACGACTTTGAGTCGCATACACGTCTAGAACATTTTCGGATCGGCGCTCTTCTGCACAAACACACTCACGGGTTTGGTTCAGGCTCGACTTTTTATCTCACCTCAGTTTCAGGCTTTCCGGCGGCACGGCTGACCGCGTGCCGTTAAATCAAAACGACAAATGAAAAAACAGCAAGCGGTGAAAAAAGCAATTACTCTTGATTTATATTTGCTGATTATTGTAACCCTCCAGACACACCGGCTCCACTCACTTCAAAGGGTGAATTGGTTAATCTCAAATAATTGTGAAGCTCAGTCCTGACAGTTTTACAGTTTATGGCACTGTGTATTCAAAATGTTGGATGAATGTATTTTTGGAAAGTTGTTTGCAAGTTCATGCCTAGATCGAGGATCTCACTTGCGCCTCTCTTTAGTCGTTTTAATTTTTTTTTTTTTGACAAACTGTAAAACAGTTGTGTTATCAAAAATGTTTTAATCACATTTAACAGACAATTATATTTTAATTAAATGCATTAACTAAAGAAAAGTGTTAATGTAATGCTTTTGGGCAATGTTAAAAGCTTTTTGACCCAAAATTACAAAAGAAACGAAGATTTTTGACTGACCTTGTGTTTTTAGGGTTAACGTTTTTGTGCTTTGCTTTCTGTCTCCACCCACTTCCAGTAGAGATTAATAAAATTCTGCTTGTTTATAGTATTTAATAACTTTTAATAAAAGCAGTCCTATGTATTCCAAAAAAAGTCGTCCTTTTCACTCTGGATAATTTAATAATTTTTTTTTTACGTAACATTTCTGAGTAAAATCAAAAGACATTTAACTGTGGTTAGAAATCTCAGTGACACATGCATAAAAACGTTGGTTCAGCAGAAGTAAACTGGAAAATACATTTGTCATAATTTACCTGGAATGACCCTTTAAGTAAAAGGGCCTCTCTTGTGTAAACCCGATACCCTGCATACACGCATTAGCAGTGCAAGTGAAACAGAGCTGCACACACAGTCAGGCCTGCTTATACCTCACAGGGTTGGACAGTAAGTAGCTCATATAGAGATTTGTGTGGCATTTATGGGATAAACGACCTGCAATAAAACAGCCACAAACTGGTGCGTGCACGTGAAGAGTTAAGGCAGTGACTCACTTTTATAAGTTTGACCCCCACCTCGCGCCCTCACGCCTCTCCCCTCCCCTCCGTCGCTCCCCAATTCGAGGGGGAAACCGCAGCAGAGCCGCAGCCTCTCCTGTCTCACTCAGGAAACTCCCTGAAACAACCACAACCTCGTCTGCTCGACCTTTCAGGCCAACACACACTCTGACATACAAATCTGCTCATTTGCAGCGAGGTTTCCTGCGACACACACACAGATGGGTTTACCATGAAGCACAACACACGACTTCAGAGTTTTGGAGTCACTTTTAATGGTGTGACTGTGTGTGTGTTCCTCTAATAAACTGCCAGGTAGCAATACAGAGAGATGCAACAGGATAGTCATGAATAATACAGCCACAGGATACTTGCACTCTCTACACATTCACATGCAGACATGCAAGCACCTGCAGTCGTGTGTTTGCACACTGGCACTGAAGGAGGCCCACGTATCCATCGTGGATGACATGTGTGAACCCGCTGATATAGGTGCTCTGTTGTTTTCTGATGCTGCTGTGTTAGACAAGAAGTGAAAGTCTGACCTTTGAACAGAGAAGCGCAGCTCACTCTCTCCTCTCGTTTGTCAGCATCGAGACGAGGAAACCTGAGAGGAGGCGAGTTGACAGACCGCACAGACCTGCTCAGGGAAGATGACCTGCCAAGCTCAAGTGACATGCAGAGGAAGTGTTTTGAGTGTATTTTGTTTTGTTTTTTAATTACCACACATTTCGCATATTAAGCCTCTCCTTTAAATGTATAAAAAAAAAATAAGGAACCTCATGATCAGCTGGGGCCTTTCTGCATGGATGTCCTCCATGTGCCTGTGTGGGTTTTTCTGGGTACTTTCCTCCCACAGTGCATCTTAAGTTGGGTAAATAGTGATTATAAATGTGTCTGTGGATGTGATTGTGAGATGTTGTTGTGTGTCTGCGTGTGTTAAACCTCTGATAGATTGGCAGCTGGGTCAGGATTTAACAAGTTTAGAAAAAAAACAAACGGATTGAACAAAACAGAAATAAATATATGTTTCATTTCTTAAAATGTAAAACAAGCACTTTTTTGGACATGCAGTGTTTTATCTGTGAATTAAGTAAGTTTAAGTGCTGCTTCATGATGATGTTTTGCTAAGACTACAGAACTGGCTTTATTTAAAATTTTAAACATTTAATTACGTTACCGTTTTCACATGACATTGAATATAGCTGCCTACATTACACACAGTACAATACACTAACAGTACAAGCACACAGAAGTTCAGCTTTGACCTTTGGAACGATGACAAAATCAACTTTATGAAGATCCACCTGTTTTTTCTGCCTTTAATTGGATGCTATGGTTTTTATCGGCACATTTGTGATGCTGTTGTTTTATTACATTGAATTGTGGTTGAATTTTACACACTTAACTCCACCCATTACAGCTTATCTGTAGTTAGTTTTTTTTTTTTTTAAAGTATTGTCCTAATTTCACAAAGGTCAGTTGTCGTTGAGTTTCTGTTCCCACAGGTCGACTGGGTGCGACTGGAGAGCCGTGCGAGAGTTAAACTGTCCTTTGGGGTGAGGTAGTAGGTTGTATAGTTTTAGGGTCATTCCCAAGCTGTCAGATGACTATACAACTTACTGTCTTTCCTGAAGCGGCTGTAATAACATCATCTTCATCATCGTACCCACAAGAGGATAAGAAGCATGACTTTTGAATTTGGACTCGTTTGTTTGTTTAACCTAAAATAATATGCAGATTTTTGTGGGAAATTGTTCTCTTTTTATTGATGCCTGTTGTTGTTGTTGTTTTTTATTATTTTTAAAAAAAAGGTAAGTTCTGCTAGTCTGAAGTTGTAACCAGTGAAGCTTGTTCTCACAGCGTGTAGTAAATTTAGCGAAGTAATGTGAAATCTAGCCACTTTTACTTTTGCAGCTTTTTCATGTAACTTTTCCTGCAAGTGCATCCTTTTATGTGCAGCATGTAACATTTCAACTGACATTATCATGGCAATCCTCATTGCAATAATAAATAACAAAGTTGCTTTCAGTTTCATTTATGCAGCGATGCGGCTCGCGCACAAATCCTCTCCGTACCCGCCTGGGTGCTTTATGATGTTCGTACAGGGTGAGGTAGTAGGTTGTGTGGTTTCAGGGTTGTGATTTTACCCCATCAGGAGCTAACTATACAACCTACTGCCTTCCCTGGAGGGCAGCAATACATCACAGGAGCGCGCGCATCTTTGTCATTTTCCCTGCCTCTGAAAAATGGGACAGTCTCTTTTGCAAAGGCCCACAAAAGACTGCCATTCGATCTCAAGGGTTCACGTGTATGGGTGAGTGGCGCTCACTCACACGACGCATTTCAGAGAGACAATCACTTTACACATTTGTAACTCACACTGGGAAGATGGCATAAAAAAGGCATTTATTTAATTTTATTAGCATTCATGTTTTAATACTGCTTGTACTTTTCCCCCAGTAATTAAATAAAGACTGGACAAGAAATAATTGCTGAGCAAATAATGGCTGAAGTCTGATCTTTGTGCTGATAACAACTGTGCAACAGTAGAGTCTCCCTAGATGGGATATTTTCTTCGAAATGCTGCTTTAGTCTCTAATCCCTTTAAGGAGCTCATAATGCCCTGAAATTCTAATCCCCAAAGCCTCTGTGTCTGAGGAACATGTATCTTTTTATCTGTCTAGAAAAGTCTCCTAAAAAGCATGCATCATTTCTCTTTTGTTCTTTAAAACAAAAATCAATTGCATGGGATTTCTTCCAATTAAGATGTTAATACTGTGCAAGATTAAAGGCAAGTAAAACTCCAGAAAACAATTGAAGGTAGAGCAAACAGCCAAGAGTCATGCTGTTTTATGAAACCACACGTAGGAGTGCAGCTTTTGCTTTGAGTTTTCAAGCGACATCCCTGACCAAAGCTGATTCTGTAGCTCGCTGCTTAAAAACCATTTCGTATTCAGAAAAAATGAGCTTGTGTTTCCATCCCAGATGGAACGGGAGACCAGGTGCCGAGGTAAAACCAAAGAAAATCATAAATTATCACCCTGCCATTTGTTTGTGGGAGAACACGCTGAGCCACCATGAGGGGTTTTTATCGTCTACACTTACTGTGCAGGTCCACAGGAAAATATGACAGCCAAAATATCCTATTGTCATGCGTCATTTCACAGTAGATGGCGCCAGATATTAAATGCGGTGTTGTTGCTTTGCTGGAGACAATGGCAGTATACACTAATTTGTTAGATGTACTTTAAGACGGGCTATAAATTTCTAAGGAGTTGGTACAGAATGAGGGTGTCCTGTTGACCTACATGTAGGAGGTCCAGGCAGGAAAGGAGGGCTGCTTTCTGCCAACTAAAGTAACCTTACAGCAGCACTGACACAACATCGTGCTTATGGTTGAAATAAAGTTAATTTTGCCACAGGTCAAGTATGTGTTCCATAGGGTCACAGTTAAATATCAAAAATCTTCCAAGTGTACACCATCAAATAAAAAACACCAGCTGGTAGCCACAGTATGAAGTGCCATTAGCACTAAATTGTGAAGGGAGGCTTTTTGGAGCAACCGTTTTAAAAGCAAGTACACACGCCTACCTTATTCATGCTATTAAATGTGTTTTAAAGAAGATGGGGATTTTTTAAGGTGTAAATAAAAGGCAAACACCTGAAAGATGCCCGTGATTTGTATCCCAGTGTGTGGCTTAGTAGGTAGAATGCCATTCAAACACTCAGACAGTTGTTATTTGGATTGCAACTGCAAATTAGGCTGACACTAAAATGACCTTCACTTTCTTACTGCTTAACTGTGAGCAGCATAACACCAAGAGACAGACTTATTTGTCATTTCCCAGCAATACTTGGACACAACACATATCTCTGATTGTCACCTGAAATGTGTGGCTTCACACAAATGCTACAATAGAGCAAGTTTTCCACTAATGAACAAAAAGCTGTGAAAGAGAAGGTTTGGAATTAGAAGCAAAAGTTCATTCAGCTAGTTTGATTGTTTTAAATTGGTGGTGGGTGGGGTGAACCTTTAGACAAATTACCAAAAAAAGCATGAGTCAAAATGAGTCATCAATTTGCATATATGTGTTTTGCTACATCGAGCATGTCATGTATCAAATATTATATACTTGGCCTTAAAGGGTTTGTAAGGTTAAGTCATGGGTGTCAAAAATCATTTTACACTGTAGGCCACATATATCCCACTTTAGAGGGTAAGTGGGTCAGACCAGTGGAACTCCATGCCAGTGTAAAGAAGTTAAACCATGAACTAAATGCCACAGATTTCAACAGTACGTCTCAGTTTTTCTACACAATAAAGAAATGCTGCTGAAAATGGAAGAAATCTGTCAGCACGACTCTGTAAGTAACAGACTGGTAAAATTACAGTTGAAAATGGCTCGTTGCACACACTGTACTATAGTAATAATACTTCAAAAATATATTATATATATATATATATATATATATATATATATATGCAGTGGATCCACTATAAAAAAAAAATCTTCCTATTATGGATAATAAACAAAACAGGAACGTTTCTGTCATTTAATTCATTCTGATATTTGTTCATTAAAAATAGAAAACATAGAAAAAACAGAAAAATACTGTTAGAAGTCCCTTCACATTTTTCACTGCTGTCCAGTGGGCCAGGTTGGAGTTTTTGGCGGGCCGAGTTTGGCCCCTGAACCTCATGTTTGACACACTCACTGATACAGTAATTAGCCTGCAAATATAAATATTTACTAACTAAATTACAACCATCTTGAGTATTTTGTAAGGTCCTTAAAGATGAAAAGTGACCACTGTTAACTGCAGTACAATACGTCATAATAGTGTCACAAAAATATCCATTTGATACTTGCAGGATATTTGAAAAGCACACACTGCTTACAGCGAGATTATCACCAGACTGCCTGCCAGCGGGCAGGTCACTGGAAAAGCTGTCGTTTTATTGAGCATTCACGTAATTATTACTCGATAGTATGACGCTGCTGACGTTTTAATTACAGGAAGTGGTTTTGGAGGCGATCGGATGGCATTAATCTTACAGGCCCAGGCAGAGAGATCCAGTCGCCCTTCACCGGGTACAGATAAAGGAGATAATGCGCCTCCACACCGGTTCATCCTGCACCGAGCCACCAAGAAGGGATTGTGTCTTACCGAACAACCCCACCCCGCACACAATTCTCGTGTTCCGATTGGTTGAAACCATAGGTGTGTCAGGAGGTGTGTGCGCCATGTTGCGGTCCCTCTCTACGTTATTTCCTGCTGAGGATGACGTTTTTGACGGCAGGGAGGGAGGCAGCAGAGCCGATCAGCAGGCGCATCCGTGAGCGTCCCAGGCCCGAAGCAGCTCTCTCCTCCTCCTCCTCTGATAAAGCACAGGCGTCCATTCCGGCAGCGAGCGCTTGAAATGCTCCGGATAGCAGACTCCGAGCTGAGGTATTTACCAACATTTATTTCTATAATGTTATGTAACTGTGTAAGAAGCTCTCTGTGCAGTTGCCTGTTGATTCAACAAACTTTGTTATTCAATCGCGCAGAAAGTATAAGTGAAGTGGACACTGTGGCTAACTTTGTATCTCTTTTCTGTTAAAGCACACATACAGACACACAAACACACACTTGTCTTTAGTGAGCTGTATTGCGAGTGAGCTCTAGATAAACTTCCTTTAAGTCATGTCTTCATCTGTTGTGACTAAACCGCAGACGCACACTGGAAGGCACGCTTCCCCCTGCAGCCCCAGATATGCTTCTATGTCACACTCTGTGCAGCAATGCAAAGAGATACTTTGATGATGCAAGACTGATGTGGCTTTTACGTTTACTCTGTGCCTGATTTTTAAATTTATTTTTTCAATCTGTGGCCAGTGGATGACCTTGTTTTCGAAAAGTCCAAACAGCCGATCCAGATTCAGCACTGACAAATGTGAGCTGTTGCTTTTTTTTTTTTTAATTAACAAAGGCTAAGAAAGGATGTGCAACTTTCCAGGTGACTAGAAATATGATGCCTTGTGTTTTGATTTTGGCTCCTTTGTATCGTCTGACGTGCTCTCTCCTGAGTCCAGCCGACGTCTCTGGCTGCAGCTCCTGTTTCCTCTTCTCCTTTAACCTAAAGATAGAGCCCTAAGGTCTGGGATCAAAGTTCCTCTGGGAGTTAAAACACAATGTCCTCTGAGGTAGAGGGGAAGCATGGGCTGGACTCAAACGGAAATATAGTCAATTAACTTTGCTGTCACCTTGTACTGGCTTTAATACATGAATGAGACAGGCCAGAGTTACAGGCATGATGAAACCATCAAAATACTGTGACATCCAACTAATCCATAACAAATGATAATAAAGTTCAAAATTTTTTAATAAGCTGTATTTAAGCTCTCACATTTTAGAAACTACAGCCTTAAAGTTTCACCTTTCTCCAAATTCCAAGACTTCACCAACAAATCGCCATACCCTCTGCAACATCCCTTTGATTTAACAATTCATTAAGCAGCGTGTAGTATGCCTTTTTAATTTATCTCTTATCCACTGTTACAGTGGTGGATATGGAGGTGGCATGGAAGGGTAGCTTCATTTTTTTTTTAAATTCAGTCTGATGTCAGTGTTAGCACATAACCTCCTGTTTGTGAGGGGCAGCCAATCAAAAAAATCAAAAAAAGCGTGGGGGTGATTAGAAAAGGAGAGGAGCAAAACCAATCACTGGGTGAACTGAGGGCTTGCATGAACACCTAGTGTAATATTATTAACTACTATTTCAAACTGTGAATTTTATACGTGTGTGTGTGTGTGTGTGTGTGTGTGTGTGTGTGTGTGTGTGTGTGTTGGACTCTAGACTCCAAGAAAAATAACAATATGTGGAAATGAGTATCATGGCTGGACTTTAACTCGTTGATCTGTGGTTTATCTGCTGTGTATTGTTGCAGAATGTACAGGAGTTGCTCAATCGACCCTTTGATGAAGAAATCTCTTTGAGCACCCAGGGGCAACAAATTTATCAGCGGGCACACGCTCTGCATCAAAGCAGTTTAACAAACCAGTTGGTCAGCAAGTTTGTCAATGACTGCCCAAAAAGTTTGCTGTGTTTTGTTAAAAAAGTCTTTAGACACAGGTATAATACACTCTGTATGGTGCAGTTGATGGCGTGCTGCAGGTGCCGGCACACATCTGTTTGCACACTCGTACTTATTTACCTGCATGGTGTCAGAGTCCTGTCACGACCTGTCCCCTAAATGCTGCAACACAAAGACTAGATAAACATACAGACGCATGCTCGGATCAATATAATCCTTGCTGATGGTGCTCAGGAGTTCACAGAGGGCATGTTTCCTAACACAGACAGGATTTTATCAACTTTTTTCAACCCCTTTTTTGTCATAGTGCATGCTTTAAGTTTAAAGTAGCTTAGACAGCGAAAGTTGTACAGTCACACTTGGGTTTTTTTCATGCGTGTCTTACAGATGTGTGCAACTGTGCAAGCTGAGATTGTGCATCG